GACATTGCCAACGCATTCAACACACTGCCCTGGGACGCGATTATGGATGGGCTTCGCTATCATGGCGTGCCTGTCTATCTTCGCGACGTGATTGCGTCGTATCTCACGGCGAGACGCATCAAGTTCCCCAGAAGACACGGATGGGGTTCCCACCCCGTCAGGTGCGGTGTGCCGCAGGGATCGGTGTTGGGTCCACTGCTGTGGAACATCGGCTACGACGGGGTCCTGCGTTGTTCTCTCATCGGGGGTGTCAGCGTCATCTGTTACGCGGATGACACCCTGGTGGTCGCGAGGGGCGACAATTTCCGCGAGGCCAAGCTTCGCGCCACGGCTGGGGTGGCCCAGGTTGTGGCGCGAATCCAGAGGATTGGCCTGCGAGTCGCCCTGGACAAGTCAGAGGCAATCGCGTTCCACGGTCCCAGAAGAGCGCCGTCGAGCGGGGCGCAAATCATCGTCGGCGGTGAGGCCATCGGGATAGGGACCACTCTCAAGTATTTGGGGTTGGTTCTCGACTCTCGGTGGTCGTTCAAGGCGCACTTCGCGGCACTTGCCCCGAAGCTCGCCGCCACGGCATCGGCCTTGTGCCGAATTATGCCGAATCTTGGCGGAGCGGGCGAGGGGTGTCGCCGCTTGTACGCCGGCGTTGTGCGCTCCAAGGCGCTCTATGGCTGCCCCATATGGGCCCAGGATTTGTCGGCGCAGAACCTTGCGCTGCTGAGGCAGTCGCAGCGGGTGATGGCGCTCAGGGTGGCGAGGGCGTACCGCACCGTGTCCTATGATGCGGTGTGCGCGATAGCCGGGCTCGCACCCTGGCACCTGGAGGCGGCTGCTTTGGCCGACATTTACTGGCGCCGGGCTCTAGTCCGGAGTCGAGGCGAGGAGCTCACTCATGAGCTCCTCAAGGATTGGAGGGAGGACGGCCAAAGGGCTGTTGTTGCGCGGTGGCAAGAGCATCTTGCCACCTCTCGGGTAGGCGCGCATACGCTTCAAGCGATCGCGCCCGTCCTGCCCGAATGGCTGAGGACGAAGCGGTGGGGATCCTTGTCCTATCACGCGGTGCAGATTTTGTCGGGGCACGGATGCTTCGGCAAATACCTGCACAGGATCCGGCGGGAGGAAACAGACTCCTGCCATCACTGCGGATGCGCCTCAGACACGGCGCAACACACCTTGGAGGCATGCCCGGCCTGGGTAAGTCAGAGGACTGCCCTGGCCGGAGCATTCGGCGCGGATCTATCCCTGCCCGCCATTGTGGCAGGGATAGTAAGGAGCGCGGACGACGCTCCGTGGCGGGCCTTTAAGGCCTTCTGCGCCGACGTCCTCTCGCGAAAGGAGGAAGCGGAGAGGGCGAGGGAGATTGCTCCCGACGCCCCCGCTCTCCGACGGAGGAGACTTGGGCGGCGCCGGCGCGATTACGCGCGGCGTCCGCCGTGACCTCGGTCTTAGGACCGAGCCAGGAGACGTGGCCAACAACCGGCCACGAAGGGCGAGCTGCGCGCGGGAAACACGCGCGGCAGGACACACGGGCGCGGGCATGCGGGTCAAGGGCAACTAACCGCCCGCTCGCGTCCGGCAAGTCTCCCGTGGGCTCTTGGAGGTTTAGGTGGGTAGTGGTCAAGCTGGCCGACCCCCACACTCCCCCCGCCACTTAGGTGGCCAGGCGGGGGCGTCGGTAAAGAGTCGATTCCTCCAAGTAAAAAAAAAAAAAAAAAAAAAAGGGGGCGATTACAGACTTTGCGTCGATTACAGAGCTCTAAATGCGCGAACAGTCAAAGACCGCTATCCGTTACCCCACATCGAAGATCAAGTCACTCGATTGTCGGGTAAAAGCTTTTTCACGACGCTCGATCTAGCTCAGGGCTACTATCAGGTGCCAATAAATCCAGATTCTGTAAGCAAAACTGCGTTCGTTACACCGTCAGGACAATATGAATTTTTGAAAATGCCGTTTGGTTTGGCTAATGCACCTGCAGTTTTCTCGCGACTTATCCAAATGACGCTAGGTAGAGTCAGTAGGGATATAGCGTTATATTTAGATGACGTTATGGTACCTACGGTTAGCGTTTGTGACGGGTTGAAATTGTTAGAACAGGTTTTACAGTTACTGAGTAGAGCAAACTTAAAACTTAACCTAAAGAAGTGTTCCTTTCTGAAACCAACCGCCATATACTTGGGTCATGAAATCACTGCAGGAACAATACAACCAGGTCAAGCTAAAATAAAATGTATTTCAGAATATAAACCACCAAAAAATGTTCATGAGGTTAGGCAATTTATTGGCCTAACGTCGTATTTTAGGAAGTTTATTCGAGGTTTCGCCGAAATCGCTCGTCCCCTTACAGAACTCACAAAGAAAGGAATTGAGTGGCAATGGGGTTCTGATCAAGAAAATGCCTTTCAAACATTAAAAAATAGATTAGTAGAACGACCAGTTTTAGGATTATATGATAAGGATGCTAGAACTGAACTCCATACCGATGCTAGTAGGATAGGTTTAGGTGGAATCCTTTTGCAATACCAAAGAGACGATAGTTTAAAGCCTATTGCATTTTTCAGTAGGGTCACGACTAATGAAGAAAAGAACTATCATAGTTACGAGCTTGAAACACTCGCAGTGGTAGAGTCTCTCAAACGTTTTCGAATTTATCTTACTGGGATACCGGTTAAAATAGTAACAGATTGTGCCGCACTTAGGACTACTTTAGTTAAAAAAGATCTAATTCCCCGTATAGCCCGTTGGTGGCTTACAATACAAGACTTTGATTTGGAAATAGAGTATAGACCTGGGAAACGCATGCAACACGTAGACGCTCTTAGTAGGAATCCTGCTCAGCAATCGATACTCCTGATAGAGGAATCTGATTGGCTGTTGTCTCTACAAATGCAGGATGAGAGCATACAAAGTATTCTATCACAATTGCGCGAGCCACAAGTTAGGCCTGATATTAGTGCTAATTATGTAGAAAGGGACGGGAAATTATTTCGAAATACTTTGGCAGGTGAAAGGTTTATAATCCCAAAACTAGCTAAATATGGGTTATTACAAAAGATGCACGATCAAGTAGGGCACCCGGGTTTCGATAAATGTGAAAATTCGATCAAATCGCAATTTTGGTTTCCTAAGATGACACGGTTTATTCGAAAATACATAAATTCATGTCTACAATGCGCGTATGGGAAAGGAAATTATGGTCGATTAGAGGGCGAGCTGAACCCCATTCCAAAACCCGCAGTTCCGATGCTTACATTGCACGTTGACCATTTGGGTCCATTCGTCAGAACTAGAAAAAGTAATACATATATTTTAGTAGCTATAGACTCTTTCACGAAATTTGTATTTGCAAAGGCTGCTAAAAATTGTAGTTCGGTAGAGACTATTCGCCTGTTAAAAGAAACCTTTACGCAGTTTGGTAACCCTACAAGAGTAATTACAGATAGAGGGAAAGCTTTTACTAGCCGATACTTTAAACAGTTTTCAGAGGAGATGCAATTCAAGCATATCCTAAATGCCATAGCTAGTCCTCGTTCAAATGGCCAGGTAGAAAGGGTGAATCGTACTCTACTTAACGGTTTAAATACCATGTCAGAAAGCGAGTGTACGTGGGATAGCAAGTTGTCTGACGTCGTTTGGGGTATTAATAATACGCCTAATACTACCACGGGAATTGCTCCATTTAATCTCATGTTTGGTCACACGAATACTCGGTTTCCGGCCTTCCCCATAGACGCTCCTCAAGACTCTGAATCTCAACGACAAAATTTAGAAACTAGACGACAAACTGCAAAACTTCGTATTGACAGAAATATGACTCTTATGAAAAGTAGATTTGATAGGAAATACAAAAAATGTACTAAGTATAACGTTGGACAGCTAGTTCTGTGGAAAGGAGGTGTCTCTAGAGACACCACTACAAAAGTGACACGAAAACTAAACGGACTTTATACAGGCCCCTATAAAGTGTGTAAAGCTGATCATTCGTTAAATCGCTATACTATCACTAGCATTAAAGGGATGAAGGGTTATAGACGATTTAGTGCGATAGTAAGAGGAGAAACTTTGCGTCCATACAAAACGGTTATTTCTGATAGTGATAGCTCTGGTAGTGACCACGAAATAGATCGCGACGACTTGATTGATCTTTTAGAGAGTTAATGAATAGATTCATCGCATAATCGATACTTTTACCTGAAAGGTGTGCTCGTGATGATTGCCTACACAGACTATGTATATGAGCAAGAATCATGTACCTAACTAACACTACCTGATTTAACGTAATCTCATTTCATCATTTGATGTATGTAATAGTTTGATTGGACTTGTATTTAATATAATGTAATAGCACTATGTTTTAAATATCTAAATTTTAATGCTGAAAATAAATCCAAATAAGTTCGAATTTATTTTATAGTTTAATTAAAGAGCATTAAAATAAAAGTATTCAGTCTAAATGTTAATGTTGTCAGACCCATGTATGATAATAACTAATGAGCGGTTAATACATACATTTCTGTGTGACATTAGGGATTGGCTATGTGATCAAACCCCATTCTGTGTGAAGTTTTAAACTGTGTGACAATAAGAAATGGCTGTGTGATCAAATTCTATTAAATATGAACGGTTCTTAATTTTATAATGTATTGCATAAGAGAATGGCTGTGTGATCTAGTTCTATTAAATATGAGCAGTTCTTAATTTTATACTGTGTTTCATTAAAGAAGGGCTGTGTGATCAAATCCTAGTTAACATGGACGAACCTCATACTGTGTGACATATGAAAATAGCTGATTATTATGATCTAACCCTGTCTTGTGGGTGACCTGATCAAGTTGTGTGGAACCAATAATGGCTGTGTGATCAAATTATACTGTACTTTGAGATGGCATATACACGCTATAATCTATATTATGTCAACGGTGTACATACTGGATATGAATTTAAATGAAACATCAAACGTTCAGTTATATCAGCAAACTTCTCGGTATCTCTTTCCTTGTTCCAGGTCTCCATCGGAGAGAAGAATGATGCCCGTGGGACACGGTCAATGCAGGATGGCCGAGTGTTAGCGACTACTTCCGTTTCCTCGACCCGCCACCCTGGCTACTCCACAAATACCAAATAGTTTACACATAATAATACATCCGGTTCCTTTATTAGTAAAATAAATAGGCAGTGACTTCCGTTTCCACATCATTTGAATTTGTTAGAATTTAGCTTAATATATTATTTAAGTAATTAACCTTAGTTAAATAATTGAGTTTATATTTTGATTTATTTAAGACAGTGCAGATTTATTTTATTTATAATTGTTTTGATATTACGAATAAACAGCCGCTTAGTTTCCGGTGAAAGTATTAGGATAGGTGGGAGTATTTGTCAGACGGCTATATAACGGCTTGTAACGTTGATTGTGACACATTCTGTCTTGTATAACATAAGGCGTCACTCTGCTGGAATATACGTGTAAAGTGTCTACAGTGTGTTATTTTACCAACCTAGTCTACGTCTTAACATATATTTCATATTTTAAACCGTTCAAAGTGTTTTATTTAGATGTGTACTACTACGCTAATAGTTAAGTCCTAAATTATTGTTTTATATCATTGATGATAATAATATATTTTTATCTTACCAATATATTTGCAAGGTGGTTCGTCTTTCATAAAATATTTCACGAGGAGTTGAACAGCCGGTTCCACCTGATCATCAGTCATATCCTGGACTCTTAGCTTAGCCCCTCTTGCTGTAAACCGGTGCCATACTGTTGGATGAGGCATGGACGCGGGACGTTTGTACACCATCTGGTTTAAAAAAACAGCCATCGCTAAACATCCTAAAAATATTTGCTTTTGAACTTTACCTCGTGGTAGAATTGTAGAGCAGGTTATCAATATGGCTGTGAATTTGAATCCTCGAAAACTACGCACAATAAAATTAAACTGGGTGAAACGCGTTACTTTTAAATTTAAGTTAACTAATACTATGTCTTAAATTAAACTATAGACAGTATTTAATTCGAAACACTAGTTAAATTAAAAATATCATAACTAATATATTTCAAGTTTTAAACAGTTAAAAGTGTTTTATTGAACTATTAATTGGTAATTCACTGAACACACTCTTTATTCCTTGACTTACGATGCTGGGACCTTCAAATCTCAGACAAACATACGTAGCTTAGGAGCTCAAGCCCACCACACTGGTCCAGCGCGTGTTGGTGGGCTGCGACGTCTACTGTCATTGAATTATGATAGTTCAAACTGGTATAACGCGCGAAAATTAACTATCACTGCTTATAAGCGTTATATAATAGGCAACACTGAAAATCAGTGTTTCAGATACAAAAAAACCTGATTGATGTCCCTCCACATATCACACACACACATCCACACATCTAATTTATACATTTTATGATAGAGGAGGGCATAACTAAACCAGATGCACCTATTTTGGCTTTCGACATTCAGAAGTCGACAGGTTTAAACCGAAACGAGATACTTCACGGCTTTTTCACCTGTGTACGCTGGATCGAAACTTGAACGGATTATTTGATTCACACCAGCCACTTAACATCAAAATTTCCAGACGAAGTCCAACATGCTTCAGAAAAATTATAAATTGATTCGAACCCACGACGCAGTGATTATAAGCCGTACATAGCTTCCTTTACACCATCGTCGGTGTAAAGGCCGTCAAAAGTATTGTTATTTCGTTTTATTTGTATGTGAAATAAATAATTTGATTGATACTATATTTTTAATCGATGGTGCAATAGTTAATAACTAAATGTACTTACCTTTTTCCTTCGTTCAACCTGTTCGAGGGCCTGGAGCCGTTTAAATGAAGGCTGCCGGGACGTTAGCTTCGAAGCTAAGGGTGGAATTAAGCTTGGAACACACCGAGAGCAAAATATCGAAGCTTTCTCTAGATAGATAATCTATATTGTTTTAATACAACGCTGTTGATGGTTTAAAATGCGAAATATTTTAATTACATTCGGGTCGTAGTTAAACATACGTTATTTATTTATTTAGTTTCCATACAAAATATATGTTTTTTACATACTTATAAATAATACAGAAGATTAATTTTTACATATTTTTCAATTACACAGAAACACAATTAAAACTATATTTCTAATTAAATCCAATACTAATCACAACTAGAATAAAAAACATAAAGATGTGAAATAAACAAACTAGAGACAGAACATGAATTAAAACTAACCTAATGCCTGTCGCACTAGAACACGAAATCTGTACAGGCAGTTGTGAAATATGTCTATCTCTAAGTAATTTTTACATATTATATTGTATGATCTAACCATTCTATTAATCGGGGAATTGGCGGAAGTAGCAAGGCGGGGCGTTGGAGACTAAAAGAGGCAGTTGTTTCTAGTAACCTTGAGAGCGCAGTGAAAAGAAAAATTTGAAAGTAGATCAGTATGAGTTACGTAGTTTAATATTTTTACATGAATATCAAATCAATGTATTTTCTACGCCTTTGAAGAGAATCCAAATTGAAATATCTTAGACGACTATCATACGTGCGAAGAGAATTTCGCAGACGATAACGATTACATAACATTCTTAAGAAGCGTTTCTGGGTAGATTCAACTGTATCGATATGTACTTTATAAAAAGGTGACCAAACACTATTATATTCGAGAATATTACGCGCCAAAGATTTGTATTACAATATTTACGTAATTAAATGCTTTTGTCGTTCGTAACGACTATATTTCGTGCTTTAAACCGTCAAATAGTTGATCAGTCTTGTGTCCCGCCTGATAGAAACTGACGAGGCCCCTACCTCTTAACGCAATGATCGGCAATATGCTAAACATTTATTATATAAAAATATGATTATTTCTATATCAAATAACAAATTATTTTGATGCATTTGTTTAAATAAGTGCTGCTGTTTATATCATTCAAAGTTTCGAGAGAAACTTGTAAATAAAAATAAATGTATGCTATAATTAAGAACTCAGTGTGTTACCAGCTTAATAAAATGCCGACATGATCCAATCTAGCCCGCTGATGCTAAGCGAAATTTAATTCGTATTAATCGTATTATATTACGTGTAATTGTTGTTTAGGATTGAGTTCTTAATAACGGAGTAATGGTGAAAACATAGAGTGTATGGAAATAACCAGTTATGTTGAAAAAATTCGACGATGACGTGTAGGACACGGTACCTCAATTGGTAAGAGCAACAGCATTTACTAAGACTAAAAAATAGGTTCGGTGATAGAAGGGTGAAATATCGAGTCCTATTCTTTTTAATACCAAGTTATAAAGAATGTTAGGTTTGGATAACCCTTCGCCTACTGAATGTGCATATAAAGTTTCATAAAAATTGGTCGAGTCGTTTCGGAGGAGAATGGTAAGTAACACTTTCTTCTCCGTATTATAGGAAAAGCTCAAACTCTCCGTTCTTTTAAGAGTTTGCACACTTGCTGTGTATATTTTTACGATGTGCCTTCACTTTTGTTTATTACTTAATAAGTCTTTGTCTCTCTCTCTCTAATTTCTTTTCTCCTGTACTTCAGGTTGCTTAACAATAAGGCCGCCTTTATTTATAAGTTACGTTATACGTAAGACTCTTTTATTTTTGTTTTTTTAACGCGCTAATCACGTGAACTAAGGATTCGAATTGAATTTTTTTTTGTGTTGGTTACAGCATTTATCGAGGAAGGCTATAAAAATTCGTCCTGTGACCAATAAGAGCGAAGATACAGCGAGAAATGTGACAAAAATTGGGAAAATTATTCATTGTTATAAGGTTCCAAGGCTTATGTTGCAAAAACGGTTCAAGATAGCCAAAAAATATGAATGAGAGGATGACTCCTCTTTAAATGATCTAAAAAAAAGTCCGCGACCCTATAATGTGTCCATGTCCATGTCTATTCCTCTTTTTTAACTTGCAAAAACGACGGGAAGGGACGCGACCGACGTCGTGGGTAAACTTCAGTTTATAAAGGTTCTCGCGGACGATGTCGCTGACATGGCTAATTCATATATAAGTCAATATTTTTCCATAGTCGTATTGTACCATTATTGTATTCATAGACAAAATAAACAATTAAAAATATAACGTTAGGCGTAAGCCCGCTTACGACATAACCACGTGGACTTGGCTGTAAGCAATGCACTGAAACAATAAGTGTTTTTCCTGATTGATCTTCGGGATATTCTTAATTAGGACTAAGATCTTTGTTAAAGGTGCACAACACACAAAGTGCGTTGTTTCACGTGAGGCTTGTAGGGTAAGTACACATGTTACGGGACTTTAGTAACAAGCGGTATTGTTCATTGTGTATATTACAAATATTACCTCTATATTTACTTTGCTTTCTTATTTCATAAACTATACACGTTGCTTAGTATCGCATTGCTGTTAGGTTCGGATCCCAGTAAAACAATACCTACGGTCGGGAAGATTATCTACATGCCCTTTGATGAAATAGAATAGTAAAAAGGAGACAGAAATATCTACCCTCAAATTTAAAACAGAACTTCACTCACGTAAACTTAATTATTATACTCATCGGTTAAAAATGGGTGAGAATTATTTACAGAATACTAGTTCTTTTGTTTTTTGAACCTGGATTCATATATATAGGGTCGTGGATTCGATAATCATCGGATTCAACGTTTTTAAATCGATTCACAATGTATTTGAAATATGTTGAACTACCACAGATAAAAAAATGTGAAATTAAATAGCAATTCACAAATAATAGCAGTTTTTATGTAAATTAGTCATGTCCAAATATGTCATAACGTATCTCGTTGATATTTAATATGGCTGGGTATTTCGCCATCCATAATGTCAACCTCACGCTTTTCTATCATAAAGAAAATATTTCAACACATTAGATACCAAAATAATCAAGGAAGGATCTCCTCTTTATTTCATAAACTCTAACTAACGAGTACAAAAATACAACAATATATTAGACACTAGATTTCGGTTTATTGTTTGCAAAAAAGTTTCGACAAACATGCAGACACCGTTAGTCAATTCTGCAAGGACCCGGCCACTTTCGATAAACCAACC